GGAGGTGTTTTGTAAATAATGTTGCACGATTAACTCTCTACCGTGCATACTTCCCACACATCGAAATAAATTGCATATAGTTTCGTTCCTTGGAACTATTTATTTAAAAAAAAGCCAATGTTTCCCCTCCAAAAAAAGTGGCTGCACTGTCTCTAAATGGCGCTCAAACATGGCGGATTGACGACTTTGACTTGAGTTAGTTTTTCGATTTTCGTTATTCAGCATTTGGCCTAATTTCTTCATAATTGGCCTTTTATTAAAACTTGATAAATAGAGAATAATAAAACATGAAAACATAATTGGCCTTGGCAGTAAAAAACACCAGTAAAGTCAATTTTTTCAAGTCGTTCAAACTAAAGTTGAAAATTAAACTTCGTTTGTAAATAAACAGTCAACAATAACAAAAAACACCTCAAAATAAAACATCTGGAAAAACATTTATCTTTCTAAAACACTGATTACTTTTTAAAATATTTGAAGTAGTTACATATAAAATACAGGTAATCGGCGGAAAGCGGCACAGGCATAGGCATCTAGAGTCCTCTGCCACACCATTCAGTCATTATTATACTCATAAATGGTATAATAACGTTATAATAATATAATAAAGTTTTTAGTACATCATTTTGATTGTATCAACGAACACTAATAAAATAATTTAATTGTCCAAAAAAAATTTTTTTTCTTTATGCTTCCTATAATCTTCTACAGCACAATAATTATGCAATTGATAAGTACTGAACAATGTAGCATTAAAAGTAACAAGAAAAGCAATAATTTTTTATGACTAATTTCATTAAAATAAGCAGAAAACAGTAAAAATTAAATTATAAAGATTTTTTCGAATTTAAAAACATCAATTTCTTTTTAGTTATTTGCATATAAGTTGTTAGATAAGTTTAAGCTGTTTAAGATTTAATATAGCCATTATTTATCTAGCTTGCTTTGAAATGGAGATATTTATCAGAAACCAAAAAATGTTCGAAATTTCAATGGCTTTTTGAGCACTGCAGCGAAGCAAAAGGCATTCACGAGCGGAAACTTGGATTATCTATATTCACTGCATACCTAACAATATAAAAAAGAAATTTGAATTACAGAACCTCTTGCAAGCTAGACCCCTTTTTGGTGCCAATTTCCTGGGCTGTAAATAAGTAAATAAGTTTTAAATTTCATGAGCTCAATATGTTTTAAAAGTGCTTTTAAATTTGATAAATATAACGTACAATATTTTTTAAGCTGAAGTATTGTTATAAAGCTAATCACTTTTATTTAATATGAAAATACCATCCGAAAGGATTCACTCTCGTTCAATAAACAATTTTTTTTATATCTAATTTCTTTAGAATTCGAAGTTGAGAAATGCGTGCTAAGCTATAAGGGTTCATTTCAATTATTGGCGACTATTAAGACGAAAAAGGCGTCAGCATTAAGTGAAAAAAAATCAATGGAGAGTTTTTGCAGGCCTTTAACGATATAATGAGTAGTTTTACACAACCAGGTGGTTGTAGTCCACTTATACATTCAGCATTCTTATATAATTACCTGAGATGCTGATTGGAGTGATATCGCGCTTTATTGGATGCGCAACAGCGATGAAACGACCGAGTAACTACAGTCATGTTCAACGGTTTTATTATCATTTAAGGAAATGATTAATACTGAATTATTTAAAGTCACATTCGATTTTTTTTTTTATTTTATTGGGTAATATTGTATTTTGTCCCAACTTAGAGCGTTGGCAAAGAGTTCATTCACACCATACTTACAGAGAATGTAAGTACATTAAGTAAAATAAACACAAAATATAACTAAATAACAACTCTAAAAAAATAGTGAAACGAAATAAGAAATTAAAATAAAATAATAAACTTAATAATAAATAAAGTAAGTTAATATCTTTAACATAGGCATACCTAGATATACCTGCGGACAATGGCGGCCTGAGGGTCAGGCAACCCGAGCATTCTCCCCAGGGCGCTTATGAGGGGGGCGCCTACCACTTGTTAGTAACAAAAAAAAGTCACAATATGTATGAGACTAATTAATTTCAGCCTACTAAATACTTAATTACAGACATATTGAATAGTGGGCGGCGTGGCCGAATGGGCTAACGCGTGTGCACTGCACCGCCGTTGCCCGGCAACCTGATACATGAGATTTGATTAAAAAAATAATCACGAGTTCTCGTCCCGGTGCCCGGAGGAGTTTTTAAATCCTCGCCCACACTCCCTGGCCCGAGAAAACCCCCGTATAGCCTTAAAGGCGAGGAAGGGGAGGGCAGAGAAAAAAGAAAAGACATATTGAATAAAATAAAATTCAAATTTTACTTACATTAGTATAAAACAATTTAAGAAATCAATTAATGTTTTAAATGTGAGATGACGTCTAAATGCTCAAAATGTCTAAGGCCGACACTGCCTACGTAAACTGTTTATAATCAGCTTGGGAAACTCCAGATATGGCTTTTCCTCCCAATCTTGAAGAAAAAGAGAGCTCCAGAAGATCCCCAGCACTTATCTCTTTGCCATGCCACTGGTATTAATAGCTATTGTAGGATGAGTGAGAGTAAAATCACAACAGAATAATATTTAAAAACCGGAAGAGCAATACCGTTTCATAGTATAATAATATTAAGTTGTATGTAAAATACTGTCTATATGATAAACGAAGATTTATTTAAGACTAAACAAGTTTTCGAGTATACTTTTTTCTTTGAATGCGACCAATGAATTTAAGAAAATATAACTTTTTTCCGCAGTCAGAATGCCGAATTTGCTCACACTTTATATGTGATTAACCTATTAAGAATAATAAAACTTTTTTTTCTTCAATTTTTGGAAACATTTTTTTTTTAATTTCTTTTATATACTTTTATTTATTTTTGTTCTTCCTCATTATTCGTTCCTACCTTATTGATAGATACTTCACAGATACTTACTGATAATAAGTAAGTCACAGCAATGGCTAGTCATCCATCTTTTCCCAGTCTGCTGGTGTTCCTCAATGTAGTATCCTAGATCCTATTCTTTACACAATCTATACAGTTGACATCCTAACCCACCCAAACACCCTTATTACAACCTCTACCGATGACACATGTGTCCCATGAGTCCAAGGGCATATTCTTTTCAGAGATATTGGACAATTATTGAAAATAGAAAGAGAAATCGAGATAACTAATGGAGATCATATAGGAGTAAAGCTCATAGTACATGGATAGATTTCTATTTCGAGGAAATTAGGATCTGCATGGAGAATTTTACTGGTGTCATAGAAATTGAAGATTTTATGAAGGATTATGATTAAGGAAAGGTTTAGTTTTTGATTCCTTCATACTGGAGTATATCTAATTATAGTCAAATAGATGATGTGCCAAAATTAAAGTTAAATAGAAAATTAATGAAACTATACAATAAATAAATGCAGTATATAAAAGGAACAGGAGTAATATGAAAATGAGAATAAAATATGTTACAGATATTCATATTGATGTTATTTTTCTGATGGTCATTTCCTGCTTGTTGGGGAATGTTAATAATAAGACAAGACTCTATGTTATAATAATGATCACTGCTTACATTTTTCCTTCCATCAAACCGCTCCGATATATCTATCCGATATATCACCTACGGATCTGTCTCAGTTATTTAAAGTACTTTTAATTATTTTAGCTTCATTAATTAACACCCCTTTTCATCGTCCCACTACCACTTTTGGCAAGAAATGTGCACTCAATTAAAAAATAATTTAATTTTAAGGTGTGTCTTTTCAGTTAATTAGTAAAAACTGCAATGACCGTATATGGATCGAAAAAATTCGAAAACATATAGTCCTTTTTTTTGTGAAAGAACTGCATTCCGCACTTACATTAAAAAAAAGCCAGTTAACCTTTGTTAATAAAAAACGTCCTACATTAAGAGTACTACTGCAGCTTATATTTTTAATCGACCTCTAAAGAAGTATTAAATTAATTTAAATAGCTATTGAACATACAGGAAATTTACCTCAATAAGATTAAATCGATATTTATATACAAACAAAGTTTTTCCGGGTTTTATTGACAATAAGGACAGCATGGATTGGTCAATGACATAAAGACCTTCCCAAAAGGTAGATTATAAAAAATGATGGACTTGATATAATAAGCCTTGAATAATGGAGCAATAGATGGTATGAGAAATGGTAAGAGAAACGCATTGCATTTTTCAGCTAATCGTTTCATGTTAAATTTTAAGTAGCATTATATTTTTTTTGTCTTGGCAGCTTAAGGTAGAAGTGATTTGGAAACGTATTGAAATATTTTTCAACATATCATTTGCCTTCCTTTGTTCCAAACAAATACATCTCGTTCTCTTAAATTAGTGCACGGTTTTTGATAATCTGTCGGGAAGTGTAACTGTTGGTTGATAGTTATGAGACTTTCGAGTACATTACTTTACTACTTTGTTATTAACAACTCAAACTGGACTCAGATTGGACCTAAACTCTATTTATAAATATTAAAAGTTATAGTAATCTTCATTTATGTAAATCTTAGAGAAGAATAAACCTTTTGTGATTCTTATATCAGATGAAATGATATAAGAATCATTTCATTTAAGAGTCTTTGTTCCACAGTAGCCTTGTCTTTTCAGACACTTAATTATGTTATCGCAAGTTTCCAAAGAAATTTTCTGCTAAAGCCTAGATCAAGGGATATCGACATTTGTGCTGCGAAACTCTTGCTGGTGTTCCTTGTTCCTCGAAATAAGTTATGAAGAAATTAAATATTCATTTGATTCGAATCATATGATAAAAATAATTTTCTGATACAGGACGCACAAACTTGCAATCATATACGTTACACACAAATTAAAAAAACAAGAAAAGGCATTTAACTACAAGAATTTAAATATTGATTGTATTTCGGTCCTTTTCATACTTTTTAGAGAACGATAAAAATTTCAACTGGAGCAGTAATCTTTTTGTAGAAATTCTTCTGAACAAAGGTTAACTGGTTACGTTCTTCCACAACAAAAACAGATGAGATGTCTTCCAATTTTTCCGTTATATCTACGGCCATTGCAGATTTTGCTAAATACCTGAATGGTCAAATCTTTGATTTAATTTTTTTTAACTTGATGGACGTTTCTCATAAAAAAAAAGAAAATTTTGATTTCTCACGTATTATTTTTTGGTTAACGATTCCTAATATACTGTTTAAGATTATTGGATAAAAATAAATAAATCAAGTTTTTATGGGTATTTAAAATTTAGTCAGTTGGTGATTTAGTTTTACCCATCGGATGAAAACTGTTTTTTTCAGTTAAATAATATTTTAACAATTATAACAACTCATGCATTTGATTTTTTATTCTAAATTGTTCTCCACTTATTTAGGCAGTCGAGGAAAAACAAGTTTTTAGGTATCTTGTATCAGGGCCACGTCAGAAGTTTTTAAATTAGAAATTAGTTTAAGTGAGTGATTATTGGTGCTACTGGTTGGAAGAGCGCTATTTTTTCCGCAGTAAGAATATTTCGTCCATTTCAAACTTGCTCGTCCGTTAATTTTACATTTAACAAAAGTTACTAATAAAATGAAATAATTTATTAAATTTTCTCAAATGTATTCTTTATAGAATGTTCTTCACGATTAAATGTTTTGTTTTAGAGTTACAGACTAATTACAATTGAGAAAACTATACGAGTGTTAAACAAGTAGTCAGGAAAAGATAATCATATTTTCTCACCTCATTCCTATATTGATTAGAAAATTTAGTAGAAATTAGTCTGCCCCGATGTGATCGTATGTTATCATTCAGAAACATATAATGTTGATTAAACGAGTTTATGATTGATGGTAAGTGCTCTATATGGTTCTCATGACGCCAGATGCCCATATAGCTGTCGCCGCAGCAATGTGATGAAGTCTAGTTCGCTGGCTGTAAACAAATTGGTATTGAAAATTTATCGCCGATTTATTCTGTGAAATCAACACCTCACCAATTTATCCCATACGAAAGCTTATTGATAATCCGCAACAATATTTTTTGACGATGGACTAATAATCTGTTGGACTGATTAGAGAAGCGTAGGAGCCACCAACTTCTCCAAGACGACTGCTAATCGTTTGACCATTGAATTTAATGTAGTAAAATGAAGCGATTGAACAAGCTAAATAGCTATCAAAAAGCAAATTAATTTTTGCCAATATAATTGATTTTAGCTATAAACTGTTTAGGAGTAGAATCCCTTAAAAGTTTAGTTTTACAAAACTACACGTTGTGAAACAGCTTATATTTATTTGCTGCAAAACGAGGGAGTTGGAACTAACATTTTTTTTTTCTCCATTGAAACAGGTTTCTCTTCCATTCTTAATAAAAATAGGTTTATTTTTGAATTGTTTTATATTTAAGAACACTTTTTCTTGATTTCCTTATATGATAAAAATAGTTCTCTCTGAACAGTATAGTTGTAAACATTAGAAGACAGGCATAAAAAGTCTGAAACATAGCCTAAAAAAAAACTTTCGAATCACTTAGTTTGGAAAAGATCATAAAAAAGTATTAATAAAGCTGTTTGAGGGAATTCCGAAGATCGAAGGGGAAATGTCAAAAAATATTTTATGAAGACATGATATAGTTTATTTGATTTTAATGAATATTAGAACATTTGAAATGTCATTCAATAGTAAATATGTAGTTTTAATCTTGTTTGAGAGTAGATTAAAAATTAAGAATAGATCAGCCCAAAATAAAACAAATAAATTGTATGTTATTACCGACATACACTGTATTGGTGATTTTTCTTTATTTTTCTAAGGCTAGAAAATGAATTTTCATTAATTATTCTGCCTTTATACTAGCCTGTGCCCCGATTATCTTTCAAAATCGGTCCTTTGTTCCTTCATTTTCTTTTATGTTGGGTTTAGGCCACCGATACAAATGAAACAAATGAGTGATAAGGACTGTACAATAAGAGATTTTTGGGGTATAACTAAAAAAGTACATATTGTATATTCTTTAAAATGCTGATCAAATTCCTTGCAATACTAAAAAAGGAAGCCCAATCGAATCAGTTTTAGCAAAGTTTTAAACGTTCTGAATTTTAAACAATGATTAAAACTTGTCTAAAATCGGTATGAAACAGAACTCAGAAATCAGAAACAGAAATCAAGTTGCTTTATTGATGAAATTCTCACTTAAAAATACTTATAGACATTCGTATATGTTTATATATTATTTATAGCTTTTGGATATATTAATACTCCTATATATGTACTAAAACGTGATAGTGGTTCATTAATATTATACAGGCTGGATTCAGAAATGAGAGGATAAAACTTCCTGAGGCTTGCACAACTTTCCCTCTGCACCCACTATCTTACCCAAGTGCCTAATGGATATTTATCAGTCTGAGCTATTAAAATACCAATCCGGGGCACGATGCCATTTCATGCAACTAATCCACTTATGTATAACAATATTTTATTTTTTACATTAGCTGTAGTAAAATCATAAATTTTAATATAAATAATTTCTGGTCACCGATTCATATGAAATTTAAGAGAAAAATATTAGAGCCATGTCCGGGGTATCGTGCCAATGCGCCCTAGGAGCCGAGAGATAAAAATATATAAAATTTCAAAATCATCTGAGTTACTAATGTTTACATTTGCTTTGCTCGAATTTTTAGGTTATAATAGTAGATACTAATAGTTAATTTTTTGTATCTTAAATAACAAAAAACAAATTGTGCTTCCAGTAAAGTTGCTATGAAAATGTTTGTTATAAAAAAAAAAAGTTACATTCGTTTTTAGTTTTGTTCAAAACTCATAAAAAAAATTTGTAAATTTTAGTGCTTGATTGTAAAATCAAGAGTTGTAGAACAGTTGTTTATTTCCAGCTGTGAACTAAAACATTCATAACTTCACACTATTTCCACCAAAGTTTATACAACCACTGGAAAGTTTAATTTGCTATTCCAAGCCACACCAATAAGTTTTGGATTTTATTTCTCTGAAGCTAGAAATTAAGAATAACTTCTCTGTTCATTATTCTTAGTATTGGTGTCTTGAGGTTTTATTTGTTATATAAATTAGGCCATTATTCACCAACATTTTATTTATTAGCTATTTTATTACAACGTTTCGATCATCACTAGGGCCGTTTTCAAGACTGGAAAATTTTAATGTCATTGTTAGTTAACATTTACATTTGCAAAAATTTGATTTCACTTAATTAACTAATCTATGTCATACAATTTCAATACACATAGATTTGTATTATTTTTAAAAATCTTTCATGTACGTAACTTTATTCATTATATGCAATTGATTATTACTTTATTGAGTCATCCATTAAATTTCTATTATTCAGGGAAAATTTTTATTAATTTTTCAGAGAAAATTAAGTTGTCCTGATATTTTAGAGTTTCCCCTACGTCATTTTTGAAGGGACCGACTTATATTGTCCTGGTGAAGATAGTCAAAGGGGGAGGGGGTTTTCTTTTATTGTTTTGTAATGGTGAATTATTTTATCTAATTTATGATTTTTATATTGCTTTTTAATTTAATTATTATATTATTTGCGAATATTGAATATTGTATTTCAAATATTACCAATATTGGAATATTGGATCATTAGATTAGATCTAATAATTTTCGTGTGATTGGGTAGAGTCGTTCTGAACTTATCACAATTTTTATAGTTGGTGACAAAATTTCAAAGGTACTAATAAAAAAAAATCCTATCAATCACTATTTTTTTTCTTCTATTTTTGGTAGTTGGAAGAAAAAAAAGAGAAACTTTCCAAATTATATCATGACATCACTTCGACTCACTCTTCAGAGTGACAGCTGAATTTTCGTGAAAGTTGTGAGAAGACAATCCTAGACATCCTGTCCAGAAGACTCGTTCAACTATTCAATAAAGGACTCGTTAAATTCATTTTGATTTTGCTAAAATTCCTAAAGACATATCGCTGAATGGAAATTTTCTCGTATTTTTGAGTACCTATTCAAGAAACGTTTGAACAAAATTCCTGGAAGTTTGAACTTCTAAAAACGGTCTTCAGAGTAGACCACCACTTAATCATCTTTAAAAATAAACAGGTACTTTTTCTAGAAGAGGAATGTGATAAATGCTGTCTCTAAGAAAAATGTTCATATTAAAATACGTTTCATGAGCCTTTCCCAGCATTAGATTATCATATTTTTCTCATTGAAAAATACCTTACAAGATAAGTAAGTGTTCTGTGTTTTTAAAATAAGATGAATACTTCGTACATTTTTTTTTTTTTTTATCATAAGTAGAGTTTTAAAAATATTAGATTTTTCTTCTTTCTACCAACCGGTAAAACGGGTTTCAACAGTGGTAGCATTTTATACACAATGCATAAATTTATAAATACAGTGAGAATGTAATATGCATGAACATGCTGTTAGTAAATAGATTAAAAACTTAAAAAATGATTATTAAACTCAAAACTTGAAAAAAAAAATTCTTAGTTTTCTCATGGTATCCTCAGTCTAAGTAATATAACGGAGATGTTTATTTTCAACTATTCATAATTTTCCGTCCAGCTGGCTCCATCCTCCTTCTAGTATGCTGTCGGACTTATACATCATTTATGTTATAATAATTTGTCATTTTTTCTATATTTTTTATTATATAACTTTATTCTGACGGTTAAGTAGGGTTGAAATGTTCCTTGAATCGTAATAATAACAATTTTAATTTAAAACAAAAATAATAGGACAGTAGGAACATATAAGGATAAAACAGTTTGAAGATTTAAGAATAAAATCGAAAGATGAATAAATGTGTCATATGTTAATATTCAGCAAGCTTTACTGAAGAACAAATACCAATAGTTTACTAATATTAGGTTTGTCTACATTTTTTATTTATTTATATTCCATGCACTTTGCAACTCCGCGCCAGTGCATCTAGTAAATTTGATGTATTTATATTTTTTTGGTGTATTTGCTTGATTTTGTTATTATCGATATAGTAGGTCTCTTGGTATAGTATAGTATAATATCGATATAGTACGTCTCTCCTTTTTAATCTACGTCCTTCAGGTAACAGGGAACAGCAGATAGAAAGAACCAGAGGATTGGTGTGATTTTTAGTTTAGTGGTGGATGTAGGATTTTACTGTCGGGTTTAAGTCGTTATGTACAGTGTTATTTGCAATATACCAATATGTGACAACAATTTTTCGTAGAATTTGTTATTGTGCTGTTTGTACTTTCTTTATTTGTGTTTGTTTTGCCGAACCTCAAAGTTCTGCTCCATATGACCGAATTGGTCTCATTAGGGTGTTGTAGTCGCTTGTTTCGTAAGTTAAGTTAATATCTTTAGTCCAGAAGATGTGAGAGTTGGCAATATCGTCAAGTAAGTTTTTGTATTTTTAATTTTGTATGTATGTTCCAAGTAAGTGTTTTGTCTAAGTACAGTCTGAGGTACATACATAGTTCTTTGAAGGTATTGGGTTATTGTCAATCGTTATGAGTGGAGATGAGGCTTTTCTAATGGATTTGTTATTATTTATTTTAATTTCCCATTTTTCAAACACCTTTTTAAGATCATGGAGGTGGTTTTGAAGTCTAATTGATGAGATAGTAGGATTTGTGAGAAGAAAGAATTTTTAGTGACGTCAGTGAAGCAATAGATGGTGGTACCAGGATGCTCAGGGATATATAGAGGATAGAGGATTGGGCTTAAGATGCTACCTTGTGGTACACCAATGTGTGGGAGGAAGAATTCTATCAACATATAAAATTAAAAAAAAAAATAAAATAAAATAAAACATATATATTTGATAAAATATGATTATATATATATACATATATATATAATCATATTTTTTATATATATATATATATATATATATAT